ACGTCCAATTCATACAAGGTTAGAGATGCATATCAAGATAAATGCTCATTTTTTCTCTTCTGATATTGACTTGCAGAGCAAAATCAGTATAATTTAAAAATTACCATGGGGTGATATTTGGACATTTTTCCAACTACTCACCTTAAAAAAAAAAGAACTCTGAGCTTAAACATTAGGACAAAATTTGTCATAACTCTTTTGGTTTTGTTGGAGAAAGGTTTTCCATCATTAAAATACCTTTAAGGACTGCATTTTCCACTGTCTTATCTTACACCAGGATAGCAAAAAAATGAATGAAATTTAAAATAAAAGTACCTTTTCCGAATCATAAGTCCTAAAACAGATTATATACTCAGATAGCTTATTGCAGAAACTATCTAAAATATTGCTATAGGAAGAGTTGTGATTTTGCTTTTCAGTTTTAAACTTTTGCAGTTTAAAATYATGATTAACTAAACACAGAAAACCAGGGCTCTTGTAATTGCATCCTAGTGACTATATTTAATGTTCTTCTGATTGAATAAATGGCATATATTGCTGTATGTTTGAACACATCTGAGCATTTCAAACGAAACATTGTTGGTTTGTTTTCCTATMGTCAGAAATACTAGAGCAAAGTTGTACTGAATTAATGAAAGATTAACCAGGAAGAGCCATCACAACACCATCCTGAAATATGGTTCTSTCTGGCAAAAGTGAAAGCAAGAATAAACAAACCTCTCCCTCTGCCTTCAGTCTGAGTATTGAGAGTTTCATCTCCTCATAAGAATTGCAAGAAATTATTGTGCATAAAATTGTTATTTACTGCAGCAGTTGTAACTAAAGGGCCATATGCAGCTGCATAGCTTTGCATTGTTCCAGTGCTTCATGGAGCTAATGATACTCTTCTTTCCCTGTTTTCTTCTTAAACATTTGAACAGGATTTTGGGTTACARTCTATATCAACATTAAAGCAAGGTTCTGTTCTGATGTGGTTGTTGACCTCAGAAGGATCTTGTCCATGTACATCAGCAGGCTGCATAACCTAACAGACTCACTGATAGTCACTGCATGGGGCAGCAATTTTTAAAGGAAGATTTGATATCACAAAGTTATTCATAGAAGAATTTGAGGTTTTTGCCACTGAAGTTCTCGAGGCAAAGCTCGACCAGATGTAGCTCCCTAAATTTTCCATTATGTATTAAACCCTTGTAATTTTTTTGGTATTCATTGATGTAGTTCTTCTTCCATATCTCTAATAAGCAAAACATCTGTTTCTTCTTGTTCAATCAAAGTGCCTAACTCAAGAGTCCYACTTTTAAAATAATGTCATTTAAATAGAAAACCTAGATAGAGAGAATGCATTTCATTAACATATTTAATTTGCATATGAAAACATCTTTTCCAGAACTCAGTAGGGAATTTGTTGTGGCAGCAGTATGTAGTTGTTTTGKTTTTTTTTCCTCAACTTGCATATTAAAAAAGAGTAAAAAAAATGCAAATAAATATATGTATCAATTCAGATGAGGAAATTAARTTGCAATGAATAACCATCATTGTGCATTTGGGATGTAGGCCATTCTAAATTTCACAACTCAAAATTCTTTTTGTAAAGATGCATGATTTTATAATGAGTCGTGCTTTATATGAAGATATCAGCAAGCAAAAAAAAATCCTTCAATATACATTAAGCTTGCAATAAAATATTATAATAGAAACAGCTCACRCAACTGTACAAATTTATCCCTATAATATATCTATTGAATATATCATATATCCCAATAATAAGTTCCTGACACACATCATTGTCTCATTAAAAAAGGAGGGTTGACACTACTGCTGCTAATACACATAAATAAAAAATCAGATAAAAACAGCTGCAGAGATGAAAGCTGCTTTCAGTTTTTTGACTGGGGAGCACAATTCTGTAAAGACAATAGTGAGTACTTGCTGAGTAGTAATGAGCAATCCTCATTAGCATTCATCAGTAAACTCCTCAGGAAAAAAAATCTACCAATAAGATGTTTTTTAAGCAAATGTAAAATTGCACAAGAATTTTTGTGACAACTTTGAGCCAGAACAGCTGGGAATATTACTGTCAYACTGCAAAACTCCTTGAGCATGGTTAACACCTGTAGCTAAGAAGAATGCAGCCTTATATAAATACTCTGAAGAGTTCACAAAGCAACAACAGTGTCATATTTCAGGGACTGACTGGAATGTTGCCAACTTGTAGGGGTAATTTAACTATTTAATACAGCCAAAATAACAATGCTTTTCCAACAATGCATTTTTTTTTTCTAGCAAACAGCCTAAAGACAGCAATGTGTTCCCTTACCATATCTTGCTAAATGCTGTGCACACAGAGAGAATGCATGAAATCGCTTTTGCTTGTAACCTGCAGCTCTCCTCATTCTCTCATTTCTCTATCTGCTCAGGAGAACTGCCTGCTCTGCTGATCCACCTTCYCTCCACCTGCTTTTTGCCTTGAGTCATTGTAATGTTCAATTTCTCTGCGTGCTGCTTCTGAGCTTGGGGTGTTTTCCCTTTACTGCACATGGGGAAAACATGGTACAACCACAAAATACAAAAAAAAATAAATACAGATTAAAATAACTTAAGTCATTTTCATCTCATGCAATATTTAATTTAAAATACTTTCCTCATTGGTACTGTCAGCTCATTCTTTTACAAAGGAGCATCTTCAAGAGGTGAGGGTGGTAAACTAAGACTTATTAGATGAAATACAGTGAATTTCCAATTTCATGGCATAATCATCTGTCTTTAGCTTTGTCAGAGGTTGTGGTGGGTTCCCTCACTTCCACTCCTCCACAGGGCAAGGGAGGAAAATAAGACTGAGAAGCCCACGGAATGAGATAAACACAGGGAGATCATGTACCAATTACGGTTGTAAGCAAAACAGACTTGGCGTGGGAAAATTAATTTAATTCATTGACAATTAAAATAGATCTACATAGTGAGAAACAAAGGAAATCATTAAAATAACACCTTTTTCTTCCCTCTGCTTAAAGCTTAGCTTCAATTCCTCAGTCACAACTTCTCTATATCCTGCTCCTGAGCAGCACAAAAGGGGAATGAAGGCACAAGACCAAGACTCTGCTGCTCCTGCTCTCTTGTGCTCTTTGCCTGCTCCAGAGGCTGGAGCGCCTTCATTTCCTGCTCCCACTATTCCATGGAGCTGGCAGGGCCATTTCTACTCTGTTTCCCCTCATTCTCAGTGCTGAGGGTCTTGGCCATGCCTGACTGTGCACTTTCTTGTCTCATACCTTGCTGTGTCTTGGTTTCTACAATATCTCTCTTTCCAGAGAGGATTTTAGACATACCTCCCTTTGTGATGAACAGCTCATGCTATTGCGTTTGYCCCTTGAATTTTAATAGGCAATTCTTAATTTTGTCCAGGAGTCTCTAGTCATTATTATTCAGTTCAAGGTAATACTGAATATCTGGATAAAAAAAAAAAAAAATACGATAGATTTTTTAATATTAGCTCATCATGATCTGGAAAATTCAAGTTTTAAATGTGTTCTGATAAGCTTCAGTTATGGTGGTACATGTTATAGCGATTTTGGTTTGGMAGTCTATAAAAAAAATGTGTCTTTCTTATTATCAGTGGAAATTAATTTTATCTGGGCTGTAATTATGTGGTTTTGAGTTTCTTCTTTTTCAAGTTTAATGAAAATGAAAGAAAAAGAGTTTACAAACAGAAACAAAAATTCCCTCATGTTTGGTATATTAGGCTTTTCATCTGTTCTTACCCGAGATTGAACAAGCTAGTTTAGTAGAAACATTTCTTACTGATTTATTTTTAAGAGGCTTCTGTTACTTTATTCATACTAATGAAATTTCTGAGACTATTCCAAGAGCACCCGACCTTATTTCACAACTTGTTCTCATATCTTAAACAAAGGTGCGAAAACACAGGGAAAAAATATTTATTAAAAGTTTAGCTATATATGTTTGCCAAGTCTATATTCCTGCTTCATAAAAGGTAACATAGTATTTTGAAAGTTTATCTTCCTTTATACTTCTGTTGACATTTTGCATCCCATGTAATTTTAGATACAGCTTATAACTTTGCATTGTGGTTTATTTTGGCAAATGACATTTTGCTAAGGTGACTTTAACTAGGTGGAGAAATTGTTGCTTCTAAAAGGTGCCCTAACTTGGAATTTGCTTTTAGTAGAGCATTTGCTACTTATTTGCTGACCCACCATAACCTGACTGCATGGAAATGAGTAGAACAAACCAGTACCCTTTTGCAGTTCTTAATGTGTCAGGCAAACTGGATTTCAGCCAGCTGCTGGGGACAATGCAAGAAGCTTATAAATTCTGAGGATTTTTAAAAGTGCAGAATGAATGAACAAGGCTGTCTGTTTTTCTGCTGACAGCACTGGGAGGTTGGTGCTCCCCTAAGATTGTGGGGTTTTCAGACATTTGCTGTTTTTGCCTCTGTGATAATGTCTTCCTCTTCTGTGAGTAGCCCTACATCCCAATGACAGGATTAGCAGCGAATTCACCACCTCTGTGAGCCTTTCCCCTTCCTATTTCTCCCTTCCCTTTTCTTGGAAATATCTAACTTGATATATGCCTAACATGAGCATGATACGCCCTTTTGGACTGTTGCTCTCTATAGTTAAATGGATGAACTGGTTTCTTTTCCTTCTGAGTTTGATCATAGAAACAWTTAAGACCTATTCTTTATYAGCAAAATGCAGAATATGGCCTTTTGGTAGGAAAGGTGAGCAATAACACCTGTGAATAGATACTATTGGGCCTGACAGCATGGACACTTTGGTAGTTSCAGGACTTGTATTTATGATATAATCTGGATTTCTTTTAACTGTTGCTTTAAGAACAAACAATACCTTGCTATCACACTAAAATTATTTCATTTCTGCAATAGCATTTATTAAACCTTATTTGATGAGCCTGGGAAAGAGACAAAACACTGAAAGATAATGGAGTAAGTAAAATGTTGCAATTTTTTTTGCTCTTCATAGGYTCTGGTCTCAATGATGGGCAGTGGCATGAAGTTCGATTCCTAGCTAAGGAAAATTTTGCCGTCCTCACTATTGATGGAGATGAAGCTTCAGCTGTTCGAACAAACAGCCCTCTACAAGTCAAGACTGGAGAAAAATACTTCTTTGGAGGTAAAAAAAAAAAAATCAAAACAAATATGCAATCAAAGTGCTGCTGTCTTTTAGTCAATATAACAGGTGAAATGGATTTCAGGGCGTAATTAATTCATGTGGATCTTATTATGAGTTGAATGCCTAGGTGTTGAATGCCTAGGTGTTGCTCAACAAAGAGTGCAATACTAAGCTTAATTTCACTTTTAAGAATATTTTTCCACCTCCTCATCCTTAAAAAATAAACCCTGAGTAGTTCTGTACAAGAATAAACCTAACTTGAAATGAATTCTCAGATCTCTGAACATACAGAGAAAGAGGAATCTTAATAGATTAAATACAAGGCACCAATTGGAGAAATAAACTTAACTTGTCAAATTTGAAATCCCGAAGACAAAAAAGATAAAAAACTTTGCTCAGGACACGTCTTAACCTTTTGCTGATTTTTAAGCACTGTCATTATTTTGGATAATTGAGAAGCTCTCATGAGTTGAAACCTTAGATTCTTTAGTGTTTCTGTCTGTTGACATTCCATATATTAAAAGCAATTCTTAAAAATGATGCCTTCATTATTTATTGTGCTTSCTCTTCTATGTTAGCATTTATGAAAATCTAAAAAGGCCATCAAAAGTCTTGGAATTATTAAACTGACATTGAAATTCCTATATTGAAAAGTGTGTTTGCATGTCAAAAATATTTTTGATCCAAAAATAYTGCAGGTTGCACTTTTGAAGTGCCCCACACATTTAAGGTTGAACATGAATTCTTCAGACAGAGAAAAAAGATTTTAAAAGCAGAATTTATCAGTGTTAAAAATTGATTTTTAGAAAAAAACTTACAAGATACACATCTAATAAAAATTAAATATAAATGARCTACTAAAAATAGTCATAACATTAYCCAAGGGATGGAAAACTTACTGCTATATRAAATACCCTAAGTAGAAAGGGAAAAAAATCCTTTCRAGGTTATTTTCATTTCRTTSTTAGAAAATTAARGTTRGTCTGTCACAGAACTTAAACTTCCTGTTGCTGTAACATGTATATTTTCCAACATCCATAATTAATCTAATAGTTTKTTTAGCCTATTGCCTCAAATAAGAGTTCTAGCATAACCAGTTTCCACATGCTAAAGTGTGAAAATTATTTTATTGTCAGAACTTAGAGTGTTCAATTTGTCAGAACAATCTGGGACATTCTAATTAAATAAAGTTATTAAGCACACATGGGAGACAATGAGAAGCAATGCTTTACATAATACATCAAGTGTTAAATTCTGTTCATTTTAATGGCAAAAATCCTCAGATCACTATTAAATTTCTGGAGAGGGATTGATTGATTTCTTGTGAAAGGTCTTTTACCTCTGGTTCTTTGTGAGGGATAGATTGTCTGGTTTCTCCAGGTAGTTTTTTTACCCTTTCTTGGTCAAAAGGTTGATTTGTTGTCATTTCAGCTGGACTGTGAAATCTGCTTGATTTGTGATTGCTGACCTGCACTTTATAATTCCACCATCCTTCCATAAAAAAACAAGTATGCATGCAGATATTGTTCTARTGGGATATGGAAGTCAATCATGAATTCCCTGAAGTCTCATTCCCACATCTGTTCATCCAAATACATGGTCCTCTAACACAAACCATGGGGTGTTTGTTTTTCCTAAGTATCTTTCATCCTCTGAAAGGTCTTCTAAAGGTATGGCAAAAGAACATAGGTGTCCTATCCTTTGTGTGCCAAGGTTATTTCAAAATCTGCATATGCAACACTATACTCACCTTAACCTTCTGAAGCTGKGAATCTGAGGAAGCTTAATTTATAGAACTCATTGGTAATATTATGCTCCCAGATGAATATTGCTACACAAATGTATGTTACTTATTTATAGATATGTAAATAATATATGAAAGATTGCAACTTAAAGCCAGTCTTTTGAATGAACTTGGAAATCTAATCTTTATACACATGACCTGCATCTTATAAAGCAAAGGTATCTTTGTTCTATTCCCTGCATATGCACATGTTCCTCCTTATTTTTCTCTGTAASCACTCCAAGTCATACCATTTAATAAATAATATTTGCAAGAACAGGATGTAGAGGAGGATACTGGGGAATCTCAAACATTTGGGTCAGGCAGTCATCACAGATGTTTTCATTTGTTTCCTAAAGAATAAGTTCAGATAAGAAAACATCAAACACTTATTTTCTGCAAATATATATGGTTGGTTAAGAAGTGATAACTTCTTGAATTCAGAGGGCAGCATGTTTGCTTTTTGCACAATGCTAGACGGTGAGCAGAAAGAATTAGCAATTCTTTGGTGATGATATATTTTCATTGTGAAGATGAATCGAGTAGATTTCTTTGCTAAAGAACTGAAAACACTAGTTACAGACACTTGCACTATTAAACATTTGTATTATGAAATATAGACATATGCTGAAATTAAATAATGAGTTTTAAAGATAGCAGTGTTATGATACTTATCCAACCCCCCTGCTATATTTCTTGACCTTTCAAAATACTGAGAAAGCTCAGTCTGTTGAATTTGTGTTTGGAGAGGCTGTACAACATTTCTAGAATGTCCCAAACACTCTTTGATAGCCTATTTCATCTTTGAAGGAGCTACTATAAGTGTTTTATTCTCCAAACTTTCCCTTTCTCTGATTCCAAAATAAGTAAGCCCCTTTATATTCCTGTCTCCTGGTGTCAATATAGCAAATGTATACTACAGGCAATGTTATTGTCTTTGCTGAAGAAAAACGTTTTAAAGTTGCATTTCAGCACTGCAGCACAATATTTTCTCAAAAATGCTTGTCATTGACCAGCAGAGCCAGGCTTTTACAACATGTGCAGCAACGTTTGAATAAAGGAGGTGTGTACATAGGAATATTTTGTGATTTYTGCTTCTAGAACTTTTAGTTTTGAGAAATTGTAAGTAAACCATGAGTAAATCATAAGAGTATTTCTTTATTTCTCTGTCAAATAATATGTTCAGTATTGTTAAAGCCTATTTTCCCCCCTTGCTTTGTGCCTCTCCGGTGCCATCTCCCAGCAGTCCCTCCCAAGGGACAGACAGCAGTGATGTTTTATTCAAGCCTAAAGAGGGGAAGCTGTGTTAGGATCAGGCATTTCTSTAGATTGTGTAAATGTGTGYTGGTGTATGTGGGAGGGTGGGTGCTAATTGCCTATAACCCTTCTGTGTAACTATTATTTTCTGCCCACTGGTTTTATTTTTGTTCTTTTCCTTCTCTTGAATTTGTGTTTTTGGAAAGAAGTGAACTTCCCTTCCCTGCTAAGCTCTAGAGAATGATGTTTCTTTGTTGTTTCCAATTATCTGCATAAAACAAAGAAACAGAACAGGGGAAGTGAATCACAGAGTGAAAATGAGTCCATTAACCTCATTTGCACTGTTGGAGATAAAGGGCTTTTGTGAAGTGTTTTAAGCTTTCACCAAACCACCTAATAGCTGCCTGGTGTCCATAGGAAACATTTCATTAGAGACATAATTTTGACTTGTTTGTATGGCATTTCTTTTTAATTGTGTCTACTTTTCCTCTCCTTTTCACTGGATCAGGGATGGTAGATTTGTACAAAGTACATGAAGTCTTGTTCCTCRAGTAGAATTCATTTGTTTTGAAAAAATTATGTTGGTCTAAAATTCCATACTATTAGAGGTGGTGGAAAGAGGAKGGAATTCAAGGAAAAAAGAAAAATTACCTTCCTGTATTTCACATTTTCGGGGCTCTTCTGTGAACCTTCTCTTCTGAAAGGCCTTTTCATGCATGTGTATAATTTTCCTCATTGTTATGATTGTGGGGATTGATCATTAACAGATGTTATAGTCAAGGTCAGACTTCCTAGGTAGTGTCACTGGCATCTCCAAAGCATTTGAACTATCATAATTGCAAATGTTTTCAGATAGAAAGAGGTTGTGGCCCTGGGGATTTTTGGGTGAGCTCGAATTGAAATTTGTTCAGCAAAATCACAGTTATTAGGTGTCATGACAAATACGTGAGACCCAACTAATGCAATTCATGTTATGTTACCTAAAAAATAAAACRTCCCTGTTGACCTCATTCTTGAAAGTTTGAAGTTTCTTGCATATAAATAAGTAACAATGATRTCTGGTTGTATCTGTATTTCTGCATGTCTTTTCTGCAGATTTTTAGTATGTCAGGGCTTGTTTTGCTCTCCATCTTATTGTTTGTAGGGGTTTGGATTTTCTTTTGCATATATGGCCAAAACACAGGATGCTCATATTTCTTCTTGAAGGAGTGCTGGATGCTCATATTTCTTCTTGAAGGAGTGCTGAGCGTATTTTGAAATCTTTCTTCTCATAACTCTATTGTAAGCTCAAATACAAATCCATGAGGAGAACACAGAGGAAATTCCAAGTAACTCAGAGTATAATGTGATTTTTSTGTGTCTTCGGCATTTGTCTTCAGGTATTGTCCCAGGTCAGTCCTACAAAATAATGGTAAATATATGAGATGGAAATAAAAGAATTGGAATGGGTTGTCTATTTTAACAGCCCTCATATCTTGGATTGTTAAATCAGGAATGTTTACAAGTCAATACACGAGCAAAGAATGCAGTTATGCAAAATTTATAAACATGGGCAAAGAAAGAGCTTATAACAAGTAAAAAATTAGATGGCATGCAGTTATAAAAATCTCTCTGGTACTTAGCATATGATGGAAATTCTTTATTATTTTATCAGGTCTCTTGTACTATGAACAAGGAAACGTGACTGAATTTACATTCACTTTATACAACTAACAGAACTGAAGGGAGTTCATCATCATTGCTTATTAACTCTTTGAGATTTATGGGGTTTTTATCATGTTTAAAATTTTGTTTATTTCATTCAAGTAATTTGAATGTTAGATGAATAAGACAGGGTAAAATAATGGCGACTCCCTGTGATTAATTTTCAGTAATGTTGTTGATGTTATAATATGCCAATAAACCAAACCACCAACACATTTTATACAACAGCACAAGCAGAAATTCTGGAGATAGATTG